TTTTTCTTCTCGAGAAAAAAAAAGTCTCCTGCAGTTTGTGCAAACCTGAAGAATTTGCTTCTTCAACAATCAGGGCTCAGCTTCGACCTGGACCTGTCAGCCCGGCTTGACAGTGAATAAATAATAAGAAAACGACTGGCCGGCAGAATCCTCTAAGGTTAGGACTCAAACCGGGTCGATCCGTGCAGCTTAGCGCTAGATTAGAGGAACTCTGTGGTCACATAAAGCAGCAGCGACCTCCGAGGTGAGATCATGGGCGCTGAATTTATCTCTGACCCTGTATGTGAGCCGCTGGAGAAAATGTTCCTCCAAAATAGAGAAGAGAGAAAAAATCACCTGCACAATATCAAACTTCAACAATATCAACCAGAGACGGTTCAGTCTGTCTGAGCCGCTGAATCTGCTGCTTTCATCGTCATCATCCGCCTGAAAGAACCGGCTCGTTATGCATGAACTCGTTTGGATTACAATATTGTCGACGTGACAACGAGGCGGCGAGGCACAAACACAACCCGGCAATAAACACTTATCACTAAAGATACTGTCCGAAAGGATAATAACAATAACAGAAAACAGAGAAAGAGCTGAAATACTCCCACTTTAACTCCTAACAACAAAGAAATTAGATCAGGCAGGAGCCCTGGAGTCAGATTGGGTCAGATAGAAGATCAAATGTCCGTCTCCCCCGTGGAGCTTTGTAAGCACCACATCAGCACCACTTTTCACCACCAGCTAATACACCTAATGGACCCCACCGTATAAAGGCTGCATTCCCCTGTGACTGTGAGTGGGTGTGTGAAAGACACACAGCGAGATGGGTGAGGAGGGACCGAGAGGAAAAACAGAAGGGCGTTACACGGGCCGGCTGCAAAGAGCTCAGGCTGCATTCATTCACTGTTAGAACGGTGCAGCTCTCCGTTAAGTTCCAGCTAAACTCTGTCGTTAGTAGAGGCGACACCGTGGACGTCTCTAAGCTCAGGTCCTTTTATACCAAATTCACTACAAGCAGAGATTCTGATGATTTCATCTCCTGTAAATTTGGTCACATTTCACTAATTAAAACAAACAACATCCAGTGTTTGAGAAGGACATCATCGACACTATAAAGGAAATGCAATTTTATAGAATTTTTGTACCTACATGCACAATAACATCAATAAAATAACAAAAACAAACTGAATGTTAATGTAAAATAACATTATATTATACATGATTTGATCCAGCAATCTATCTATATTATATTATATTATATTATATTATATTACTGATGATGAGTGACAGTAACATAATCTGCATGTTAGCAATAGTCAGAAATTGCATCTGTCAGACAACAAAAGAGATTTTCGTCCCTTGAATTTTCCCTTTAAGGTGTTTTACCTCAGTAACATGTCCATATGATGTTTTTTTTATATGCTGGAAGACATTTCATTTGCAGACTAATCAGTCGACACCACGCTCATCATCTCCACGTTCAAAATGCGACGTCCTGATGACAGTCTCAAAAACACGGATTCAGACTTCCAGGATTTCTCGTGTCACAAACCTCAGGAACCAATCCTCAGGATGGAGCTTTCTGCATCACTGTTCCTCCTAAAACTCCAGGTATATTAATAATAATATTACAACCTGCCACTGTGTAGAGCTGGTTTACAGGGTCGGAGCAGAGTTGGAGGTGAGCTGGTGTGCTCCAGCTGCAGCAAGCAGCAGAGGGAAGGATGTTTAAGGCCTTTTTTTAAGCCAGGAGAGGATTATTTTCACGTGAACATGGTTCTGAACACGCAACTTTGCTACTCAGGGATGACTTTTTAGGGGTAAAATCAATGAGCAGAGAGGGACTTTAATTAATGAGCTCTGGGGTGCCGGTAGGTGGATTTTTATTACCTCTGGAAGGAGCCCAGCCAGCTGTCGGCTGCATTTCCAGCTTTTATGCTAAGCGAAGCCGACTATTTGCTGGCTTCATCACACGCGTACAGGAGGGGTATCAATCATCATCTAACTACCAGCAAGAAAGGGAATAAGGGCATTTTGAAAAATGTCTCTCTATTCATTCAGACCACTCGGGTTTATCGTGTGACCCCTTGTGGGTTCTCCACCCCCAGGTTGGAAACCACCACAACATTTAAACCTCCTGTTATGCAGAGGTTTGATATTTAAAGTTTCTAAATCATCAGAAGAGATGAATAAATAATTACAGCCGGTATCATATTATTGTATTCAATCCAATTTAAAGGTTCCAGCGTGATTTAAATCTTATCAAAACACCAAATAAGGAACCAGACTACGTGACCGAACTCCTCAAAACGAGACAAATGGCTCCCTATCGGCTGCAGTGAAATGAGCTGTCAGACCTCATTGAAATCACTGCCAGTCTTCGGTATCAAAACGTCTTATTACTTCCCTTCTTTCGCCACTTTCTCCTCCCTCCTCCTTCCCTTTCTTCCCTCCACATCCTTCGCTCGCTTTATTTCTCTTTCAGCCTCGCTAATTTGCAATTGATTAGCTGTCCTCTCGCCCGCTCGGTCCCATGCTCTACACTCCTCCTCCTCCTCCTCCTCCTCCTCCCTCCTCCTCCCTCCGCCTGTCCTCTCCTCCATCTACGAGTCAATTTCTCTTTAACGAGCGCTGGTACATTTCACTCCCCGGGCACCGGAGCCCTTCTGTGTAAATAAAACAGAGAGCAGAGCCAAAAATCAATGGGCCTATTACCCTCAGAAAATGCTAAACAAGCAATATTAGCGACTCACTTGGTAGCGGAGGCCGACTACCGCCTTAATGCCCCCCTCCACCCTCCACAACATCACCACCTCCTCCTCCTCCCACCACCCCCCCCACTTCGCTCTCTTCAATCTCGGCATCCACTCAACCGGCCGCCTGCTCCTCGCATCGTCTCATCGAATGCCACGGATAGAAAAGACACATTAGCGGCCGGGCACGCTGGTGTAAGAGTCACAATCATTTGCCTCCACACACACACACACACACACACACACACACACACACACACACACACACAGAGCGCTGGCAGAAATTAAGGGATTCACTCTCCAGACAGAAATCACTGGGCAGCACGCACAGCGACAGGCCACATTTTACCGCTTTTTATTTTTGTCTATCTTGCCCATATAAACACACACACACACACACACACACACACAGCAGCAGGGATTTATAGCAGAGACCCCGTATTTCATCAGACCAGGCTGATTAGTGTGCCAGTAAAAAGCTGCATGTGTGTGTGTGCAACAATCACACAAACAGGCAAACACACACACACACACCCACCCCGAGTAAATCTCTACAATATACGAGCACGCACACACACACACACACACAAAACTAAATAAACAACCACAGTGTGCCGACAGACAAAGACACACACAATAACACACACAGAGTAAACATGTACAGTATGTACAGGCTGTTAAACACACACATGCACACACACACACACACGCAGCAGAGTAAACACACTGTATAGATACAGAAAAACACACACACACGCAGCGAGACAAAGGCCAAGCATTTATCACTTCCCCTCACACACACACACACACACACAGGCTGCACACACCATTTCTCTGGAAATGAATGTGTAGCTGGTTAGCTGTGGTCCATTTATCCTGGCAGCTGATGTGTGGTTAACACAGACATTTATGCTAATGACCTTCCGTGTTTAAAAAAAGGCAGCAGTAATGTAAAGGCTCGTTAAAGGCCAAATCCTCGTTCACTCGACTCATTTTTCAGCCCATTTTCTTGTTCAATTAAACGGACGAAATTATTATTCACATGTGAAATCGCTATTCAAGCTCACAAGGCAGCCAGCCACTCTAAAATAGAACAGATGAGGAATGATATTGAATTCTTAAGCCTGCTTTTGCTTTCTGTCGTCTGTTTCTTTTTTTTTGTGCTATCTGTGTAAATACAGAAGGTTTTTATTCTGAAACACACGACCTTTAACATACATTACAGGCTTGTTTTACTGTTACATTCAATTTTCATAGAAATTAACCAGGAAATACTTCTGATATATTTTATTCTTTAAAGTAAAATTAAATGCTGTTATGAAGGTCCTATAATACCGTGTTTGCTCTTTCTGTGACACTCCTGCAAAATATCAGCACGTCATTTTATATGAAAGCAGAAAATATGATCCTGGTAATATGGATTTATGTCTGTCTTTGATTTAAGAAAGAGAAAACACAATATTTTAAACTGTGACAGTTGTTGGTGTTGTGTTGTTTTTTTCTGGTGTAGCAATAAAGTTTTATTCTAATTCTAATTCTAAGCCTGACTGCATTTAAGAGGATGTTTGACTAATTTGGATGCAATTATTAAAGCTCATAGGTAAAACAACAACAACTGATTTAAAATAAGCTTAAAGTTTACAGGTTGGTGTGTAAATAAAGCTCATTTTTCAACATAAAACAGTAAGTTAGTCGTTTTATTTCTTGCACTTAAGGTGTAAGAGTACAGTGGGTGTGGCTACCAGTCTTAATCTCATTTTCAAGTATTTGCGTTGGAGTAAACAGTTCAACTTTAGGTCCTGTGGCATTTTTTCATGTGCATTAGGATGAGAGCTTCATTCAGAGGAAGTCTACAGGAGTCTTCTGTAAATAGCTGCAAAAAAAAAAAAAAGGACGCAGATGCTGCATCTTTAGGGAAATCAGACGCGCAGTTCTGCAGCTAATACGCTAACACATGGCTGAGGTGTTCGCCACAGGAAAGCAAAAAAAAGCATCATTACAAGGAGATAAAACAATTAAAACGTCGGTGTTCCTGCAGAAAAACAGCAGGTCTTTAAATTCAAAGCTGCCATAAATTCACTGTAGTTTGAAGAAACAGAGGTGGTAAATAAATAATCGTAGAATTCAGCAGCAGCTACAAATTTAAAACAAAAAAAAACTCGTGTTGATCTCGTTCACATCCACATTCCCCTCCACACCCACTCCGGTGTGCTTTGAATCGCTTCTTAGTAAAAAAGAAAAAAACCCGTCTCTTACCTGCTTGTGCATCTCGATGTTGAGGCCGTACGACATCTCGTAGTACTGAGAGGAGGAGAGATCAAAGCAAGGTCAGCGAAACACGTCTTCTCTGTTCCTCTTTCTGCACACGCCAAAAATACTAATGAGTACACGAGTCGACTCACCATCACGTAGTGTCTCTGCATCTCCGTCTTCTCACTGGCCAGCTTCTCACATTCCAGCTTCAGACTGTGCAAGAAACAAGAAGAACGTTTTGTTTGATCCACGATTAACAGGATATCTAAAAGCCTTCGTTCTGCTTCCTCACAAAATCACAACATATGACTTTAACACCTCCACAAACTGAAACTGGAGGTGCCGCTGCGAGTCTGTGCATCCTGTCGCTTTAAATTTGCATTTCTCAATTTGACAAAGACAGAAAGAAAAAGAAAAAAGTTGTTTGGATGGCAGCAGTTTTTTTTTTTTTTCTTCTTCCCCCTGCAGACACAGGCACTTACTCAGCAGGTGCAGTGCAGTAATTAATGGATCAATGGACGACCACACAAACCTCATCATATATTCTTACAGTGTGAGTGGAAGCCTAAACTGCACCATCGACAAAAAAGCAACCATATAATGAGGATCCATTTTAACACTAAAGCTTAACTCTTTCAAATGTCGTCAGCTACCGGAAATCTCCCATACATCAGCGCGTGGAGGCTTTCAAGCATCTTTGTATGAGAAAATCATCAGGTGTGTGATGTTAGGACGCTTTTGCAACACTGATATATGTCAAGAAGAAGGAAAAAAAATAGCTTCCTAATGTGGTTTAATTATAAATGCTGGACTCAGCTGAACATTTTTGGCACCATTGCACGAAAACCTTCAACTTTTCAGGAAATATTTGGATCGGTTTCGACTCCAGGTATCAACTCAGCCAACAGATCGATAAAAAGATTAAATAAATGACAAATGTTTTAACCTCAAAAACAAAGTTCCATCATAGATTTAACTTCCCCCTAAATGAGAAGCAACATCCACGAAAAGCAAAAAAACTCTCCAGAGACCTGGATGCACACCTCACCCGCCCGTACTCATTGTTTTTTGTTTTTTTCCACCAAATCAGCACCTCCCCTCCTCTTCACCGCCATGAAACGGTTTAATCCAGGCAGCTGCAGCATTAAGCATGCAGCACACCATCCTCCCTTCAGCCCGTTCAGCCCGAGGATTGGCCAGCAAAGTGGACCGCTGGTTCATCTCACCAGGTGATTGGGTCATAATTACGAGGTGGCCGGGAGTGGGCGATTATTATGCATTGGTATCGTGCTTATGGTTCTGCCCCGAGCAATGTATTTCACACTTCATCATGTCGGGTAAAAAAGTATTTCACACCACTTGCACTCGCGGAGAGAGACGTGCATACCAAGGTCGATGGGGTTTACCTGTGGTTAGATGGACCTGAGACAAACCGGGACTGTTTGGATGTCTGAGGATTTCATGGCGGCTCCAGACGGATGTATGCACGTCAAACTTCATTTCTCAATCAGATGTTAAACCTGAATCGATTTTCTGTCTTCCATTTCGTGTCATTGCATCATCCCTAATTTTTTGGTCATACTGTATGATTCACACGCGACTGGCTCAGATCACACAAATCAACCTTCTCTCAAACCTAATCTGAGGGTTTCCTTTTATAACTAATCCTGCAACCAGTGAATCACTGTGACTGATTGATCCGCTGATTATTACTCACTTGTCATATTTATATCAGGCTGTGAGGCCAAGGTGACTTCCTGTAATGCCTGACCACAACAATAATAAAAAAAATAAAGAGCCCAGAAAACACTTCCACACTACTTTTTCAATTAAGAAGCTCGTGGAGGGATACTTCATGTAATGTCAATAAATAAATCAATTAGTCAACTGGAGGCTAATTGCTGCAGCCCTGACATGGATCTGGAACACCAAAGAGATCAAATTCATGATCATTTGTCCAAAGCTTCATCAGAGTTCTGTCATGTGGCTGCAGCTCCATCCACACTCTCACCTGTGATACTGGGCTTGCAGGAACTGGAACTCCTCCTTGATCCGGTCGCAGGACTCGGTGACAGTGAACTTGAACGGCTGTCCCGGCTGGTGGGGGACCTCGACACAAAACCACAAAAAAAAAAAAGAAAGGAAAAGGAAAAAAAAAGAAAACAGCGTGCGAAGGGAAAGAGAGGAAGAACTGAGCCACCAAAGTTCAGTGTCACGACACGCACACACACACAGGCAGGACTGTAGCTGACAATAGGCCTCTGTGATGGGGATGGCCTTTTGGGTTTCACTCCTTAACACGTTAACCCACGCACACTCACAGACACACACACACAAACACACAGACACACACACACTCTCGCATACAGCTGCAGCAGTTTGACAATGAGCGCAATTGTCAGAGCGAGCGCGCAGTGGCACGGAAACTTGATCTAAACTGATTACGCACCAGGCGCGCTGCTGTTAATCTGCGCTGTTTTGACATAGTGCCTTGACTGTTGCTGCTGCTCTCTACTTACCGGATGCCGTGCCGGGGGGTACATCTTGCTCAGATCTCGAATCATTAAAAATGTATTGTAAAGTTCATCCACACGAACAAGAAAACAAAACGAACGGGAACCGATCTTTCTCCCCCCGTGCGTAAAAAAAAAAAAAAAAAAAAAGGTCAGTCAGTGGCCGGTTCTCGGGCTGCGTGCAGGTTCCGTGAAAGCTGGACACATCCTCGGACCTCTGGCTGGTCAAACACAGTATTTCAAAAGTCCATTTAGTGCGATAATGAAAGTTGCATCAGTCTTCTCCAGAAAATAAAAAAATACAATCACCTCATTCAATGCGCACAAATCTTTCCTTCTTCTCCCAAATTAACAACGAATCCTTTATTTTCTCTGATTTTTCCTACGAAGCATCAACTTTTCTTTTTCCTTGCACTCATGACCCTGCTTTGTCCGCCGACACTCAGCCTTCTCCGCCGCGTCCCTCCTCGTTGTGTCGCTTTATTTCCGACTCGCCTCCGTTAACGCTCCTCGCATCCTCGCGCGGCACCGACCGACCGAGCGAACCAACCTCGCCGACTGGAGCAGCGCTGCCCCTGCGACGCCAAATTTAGAAGCAACCAGTCGTACGGGGCGCAATTACATATTCACAACAATTACCGGAGCCCCGTAGCGTGACGTCGGGACGTGTAGTTTAATTCATATTAGTCGATAATAAGCTCTACAGATGTGCGACTGCTGCAAAGAACTACAACTTCCCGGCTCCTCCGCGAAGCCCCCCGAAGCCAATGGTGTGTGGTCCGGAGGAGGAGCGGCCATTAAAGGCAGCCAATGGCGGCGGCAAGGTGCGCACACTGCGCCGCAGCTTCCTGCCAATCACGCGTAAAGCGTCCAATCGCGTACCGAGCCATCCGGACTCCCCACGTGGGGGCTCGGTCTGGTACAAAAGGATGTCACAGGGATTAATCTGGAAACTATCTGTTGACTTATGTGTTTTTCATAGAGACTTCCAGGCACAGGCGAACATATGGCCCCTAGGTGTCTTCCTGTTTTGTTTTTTCTTAATTGAATCGCCTATTAAACAGTCTGCTGTTATGTCCACAGATTGCACTTACAACCCTGCAATTAAATTCCCATTCAGCTCGCTCGGAGGCACCACAGCCTGCTAGCATGAGGTGTAAATCATATGGAGGGCAAAATAATGTAAACACTTACGTCTGATTTATTATTACGGCTCCAGAGGTGGGTCATGTTAGGTTGCATATCCTTTATTCTGTGTCGGTGACATGTTGGCCTGTTTCACTTTTAGTCACTCTGCAGACTCACAACTAACAGACCTGCATTCAATCATTTACAATCACAGACACAAAATGCAACTGAAACGTCAAAGTAAAGCCACTCAACCTGCAGCAGAACGTGTCCTCTCATTGTCATACTGCTGCATCATGCATCATATCATCAGATTGTCGTTATTGATGACAAGGGAGCATCATTTAAACCACCGTCATGGTTGAGGCAGCAACATATTTTAGTTTTTTTCATACGCTGTTGGCTTGTTTAGTTCTTAAAAATGCAGGTGCTTAAAAATTGGTTATCGATTCTCTCTGCAAACGTGTCAGAACTTCACCTAAAAAACTAACGAGCACCTAAAGCTGCTGACTCACGTGTAGCGGAGCAAAAAAAACAAGAGTTCACTCTGAAATGTGGAGAATTATAAAGTCCTGTACTTGAGCTCCTTTACTTGTGATTTGCAGATGCTTTAGTGTCAGTCCTCGTCTAATAACCCTGCTGTTTATATCACAACATAATGTGCAATAGCTTGACCATAATCTCCTTTTTCTTTTTTTAATCAAAACTAAAAGCTCTGCATCTCAGACTCAGGCCTGAATATATTCCGAACACGCACACAAATACCCCCGTGTGTGTAAAACGACTTAACAGAGGCAGAATCAGAGCCAACTTGCAGCACATTTCTTTGCATTATTTGTCTCCCCTTCAAGCGCCACAATCCAATTAGGACACCTATTGCTGGGTAAATTGAAATATTACGAGCAGGACTGTGTGGCTCAGCTGACAGCGTTGGTTCTGAGGGTGTGTGTCGGCCTGTGGCACCGACTAGATGTTCGGTGTGAGCAGACGAAACACGCTGCTGCTGCTGCTGCTGCTGGGTCAGCGGCTCTCTTAACCGCCGCTTTCCGTCGTTTAGCAGAACTCACTGACCGGAAAAATCTCGATCATCTCGTGCTGCACTTCTGCATTTCTTTTCTTAATTTAAGTGTCGCCTAATGCGGCTATTTAGCTGTAATGTACGTTCCCCCTCTTGCGTGACATAACAAAAGAGGGCTTCTGTAACGGTGACATGCTCCTGCTTTCATTTTTTTCTTCTTCTTGCTCAAACTCACACTCTCACACACACACACACACACACACACACACACACACACACACACACACACACACGGGCGTCCGAATGGTTATCCACAACATGACACCACATCAATCCTCTTTCCCCGTCAGTCTGTCTGCCTCAGTCTCTCCGTCTTTTCTGTTGTCTCTGCCTCCCCTTCACACATACACTGCATTGTGCACACACACACACACACACACACACACACACACACACACGCCGCCTCAGCCATTCAAATACACACACCTCTATCCACCACACATAAAACTAATATCTCAGGTAAGCACAGGGCCTAAAGTGACCTGCTGTCGTGGTGCGTGAATCCACTAAGGCTCCGAAAAGGTAATATCATGCCCTCCCCTCCTCCTCCTCCTCCTCCGAAGGGTTTGGGCCGTGATGTGGACGAGCAGAGGAGGTGCCGAGTGCAGGGGAAGGAAGAGGAGGAGGGGGGTCTAGGTGAGGAGGAATAAACAGATTTATTTGCCTGCGCCCCTCTCTGATTATTTTGCCCCTGCCTTTTGTTCCAGACCTTATGAAACCCAAATGTCAAGTGAGGCGAGGGCCTCATATCGAGTCCTGTCAATCACGGCCCTCTGCGCACCTGAAGCCCTGACGCCGGATTATTGGCTTCAACACAAGGGCTGCCTTCGCCGCCAGGCACGATGCCTCAGACGATTCGACAGCCAAGTTTTTTTTTTTTCTAAAGAGGAACTTCATTTGGCAGCTGATGCGCAGGAGATTGCACAGGAGCGGATTTTGAGGGGTAGGTGGGCAGCAGGCTGGATGTGTGTTACAGGGGAGGAGGGAGGCTGCAGAGTGGCTTATCGGGGGGGAGGAGGATAAAGGAGGAGGAGGAGGAGGAGGTACATGGGTTGGGGAGTGGGTGGTAAGGAAACCTGACCTTAACATCTTGCTCAGAGCACTGATCCCACCCAGTACCTTTATGTCTGTCTCTTAATCTCCCTCCCTCCCTTTCACTTTCTCTCACACTGTATCTGCTTATCTTTAATATGATACTCCCTCGCCGTTACCTTTTGACAGCGTCGCTCTGGCAAACAAACCGCTGGTCATATGTACCCTTTGTTCAGCTTTAACTGCAAAGGCGTTGTTTTCCTACACATCAAATTCCAGCGTGCAGGAGGTGCGATTTGGGTGCGAACGCGCGACGAGGACACGCGACAAAATACCGACAGGGCTGCATTCGTTCCTGTAAACTTTCTACACGTATCGCTGCAGCAGCAGCAGCGTGGGCTTAGCAAATTATACGCATCCTCAGTCTTGTAAGACTGACTGATAGCTGCTGCTTAGCGGCCCAACAGGAGTTTCCACCGGAGTTCTGTGGAAATCCTCAGTTAAAACACCGACAACATTAGCTCCGACTTGGATTTAATGCCGGGCCGGATGCAAGGCCCCGAGACAGGGTAGTGTTTCACAGAGTTAGATTAGATAACTCCGTATCAGCTTTTAACTCAGATTTAGATGCTCGCTTGAAAAACTGACGCTAAAATTAGAATTCTGCTTTTTTTTTCTAGTTTTAAAAAGGTTTCATATTCGTTATAAAATCGTATTTGTCGAAGCAGCAGCTACGTAAAACCTCTGCATCGGTGCGTCTGTTGACGAGCTTGGTGACACCGAGACGTTGCTTAGAGATGAGCAGGAAACATCTGGTGCACTGAAGGATGTTAGACAGTATAGTCTACAAATACTAAGACAAGTCAATGTAAAACAGTTTCACAGCAACAGACCAACAACTCCCATGTTCTGCTTGGTGATGCTACAGTATTATGTTAAAGCCTTGGTTTGCTGTTGGAAAGGCCTGTCAAACATCCATCCATCCATCATCTCTACACCTTAATCCTCACCAGGGTCATGGGGGGCGGAGCCTATCCCAGCTGACTCAGGGTGAAGGCAGGTTCACCTGGACAGGTAACCAGTCTATCACAGGGCCACACTTAGAGACAGACAACCAAGCACACTCACATTCACACCTACAGACAATTTACAATCACCAATTAACCTCAACATGTTTTTGGGAGGAAGCCGGAGAACCTGGAGAGAACCCACGCTGTACGGGGAGAACATGGAGACTCCACGCAGAAAGATGGCGAACCAGTAACCTTCTAGCTGTGAGGCTACGATGCTAACCACCGATCCACCTTTTAGCAGCCTGTCAAACAGTAAAGTAAAATGCTAAATGTATGTTAAATATACTGTGCACTTTAACTGAAACTGAGCTGGGCCTTTCTTTAGGTGGTGACCTCGTCCAACAGCAGTTTGACTTTCCTGGTGCTGTACCAACTACACCAGATACCTTCTACCCAAACTAACGCGTCTATAAAAGAGTCGGAGCGCCACAAGTTCATGTTGAACCAGAACTGAAACTTCCACAACCAACACTTCCTGATGCATACCAAACATCTCGTCTGCTATGCGCCGCGCGTATGCATTTAACAGCTTTACACGTATCCATACTGCGGTTCTGAAAGAAGGCGCACACACGCCGCCACCCCCACAAACATAAATAACTCATCTCACCACCTGAGCTGTCGTTATCGCATAGACTAGGTTGATCAAATGCATCTCAGTCCCGCGTGTTTTAAGTGTCGTTTACATGTTTACGCGCCAATTAAACCTTGAAACACTTGAAATGTTTCACAGAGACGCGTCGGGGTAAGACAAGAAAAGTTTAATTATATCGCTCATAATGCAGCTCTAATAGGCAATTCAGTGCTTAGAAACACTACTAAAGACTTAAAGCACAAATTAAATTCCTTCAAAATGTCTGTGAAGATCCTCAGTCATCCAGGGCACGGTTATCCTCGTGGATTAATCGTAGCTTGAGTTCCTTGAAGACGTTCCACCTCTCATCCAAGAGGCTTCATCAGGTCTGACCGACTCGTTCCAGATGTCCTTAAGGAGACGTTAACACCTGAGTTTCTGTTGGGGGTTTGTTGCTCCTCGCCTTCCAAAGCAAAGATGAAACTGGGAAATCAACCTTTCACACTAACAGGTTCCTGCTGTTGTCCTCGAGGTCAGCAGGGTTACGGAGGTATATTTACCCCGAGACAAAGCCATTGTCCTTTCCCCATCCTCTGGGTATACATATATATGAAAATAATA